TAAATTTACGTAATATATACATATAACTTTGATAAGAAACTAGTGGGCCACGCGGGTCAATTAATATGCGATTTAGTTTGAGAGCACTGCCCAATATCATAAACTAGCTGTCGACTGCGACTCCGTCTGCGCGAATTTAAAAAACAATAATTAGTAGCCTATATATTCTTCTCGACTATTCTCGACATCTATGCCAAATTTCAGTAAGCTTCATGCAGCCGTTTTAGATATACCTTGAAACAAACATCCATCCATCCATCCAAACATTCGCATTTATAATAGTAAGATCTTCCAAGATAAAACAATCTAAAATGAAATAAGTAAACACTTCTATATATTTCTAAAACGTTAATTGAACAGTTGGTAAGAATTTCCGGCCGTATGTTTTCAAGCAAGGCAACCATCCAAACCACAAGGTCGGCAGGTGCGCGAGCTGAAATTGTTTCAAACGCTCCAATGTAAATATAAGTTAATTAAGTGCAAACCGAGACCAACAGTTAGCCTCGGCCTCGGGAAACTGTTTGACTTGAGATCCAGTTTAAAAAGAGGGAATCTACCTCCCCTTCCACGCTTTCTTCCCCTCCCCTGACACGCCTGCCGACAGTCCGTCCTGCTACTAATGAAATGATTCCAGTTTTCTAATGAATTTAGATTTAATTGACTTACTTGAATTTATTACATACTAAAAATTGCTTTGTGTTGAGATTTAAACTGGTCATGGTGGATGTATGCATGTTTGATAGAAGGTATCAGCAGTACGGATCTTGCTTAAATTTGGCATAGTAAAAATCTAGATGAAGGCAAAGGTTACTAATTAAGTTTGTTCAATCCCGCACCGACGGAATCGCGGTCGACAACTTGTTATAAATATGTAAAACACAAAAGAATCGAAAGCTTTAATATTCTTTGTCTCGCTGTAATTTATTAAAAATATATAATATTTTTTTCTGACGTACATTAACCTTTACTTGGATGTCATTTTATGTGCTCCCATTCGCGGGGCAATAAAACGGATAATAAATATTCGATTTACGTCCCGGCACATCGAAAACAATGTGCGAAACATGAAATATTTTTGACGGAGTTATCTCGCGAAATATTTTGATAATATTCATTCGACGCTTTCGAAGCTGGTATTTTTCACCGTCCGCATTGAAGAAGCGTAATCTAAATTCTTAGAAATCTTGCTTATAATATTGCTTTTTACTCTAAAACTTTGCCTTGTACGAGGCACTAGCTGTCGCCCGTGACTCTGTTTGCGCGAATTAAAAAAAAACAAATTAGTAGCCTATGTGTTTTTTCAGATAATGTACTACATCTATGCCAAATTTCACCGATATCCATGCAGCCGTTCTACAAATAAGGTCTAATATCCATCCTTCCAACAATGGAAACATTCAATGACTAATTAAAAAAAAATATTTTTTTTTTTAAATTGCGCACAGACGGAGTCTCAGACGACAGCTAGAATAGTATAAGTATTAAAAAGAAAAATTAAATTAACGATATTAAAATAATTATTAATATTTTTTATGTGAGAAATTTCTAGGAATCCGTGATCGTTGATCCTTATCACGCTACAGTGAGTATAAGATGTAGAACTCAGCCAATTAATATCTTCCTCGTGAATTCATTTTGATGTTCAAAGCAAACATCCGAATTCCTCCCCTAATTGGCTGCTAAGTCAAAGCGTGAAATAATGCGTCTCGAGGTGGGGACGAGGGTGGGGCCCCAAGTCGAAGGATCAATTAATAGGGTTTCTGATATTATGTCATTAAACAAAAGAATTCTTACGTTTTAAAACAAAAAAATATAAAACCATCTGAGTTTAGAACTTATAGAAATCTCAAACGTTTAGTTTAGTTTTTAGCCTACACAAATGTAGAACAACTCAGATACTTATGAGTTGTATACACAAAAACAACTAGTAAATGTGCAAATTTCTTTACATTTTCCCATCGAGTAAAGGGACTTTGGTTGCGGAAATTCCCTGTGGCATAGATTTGTCGGCAAATGTGGGATTGGTTGTTTTAAATTTTGTGAATAATTGCGCGAAGTATATGTTGGTGACGACCGTAATGGTGGTGTGGCTACACCCTTATATCGTTACTAAGAAGTCGAAATCGTGTTTGAAGTACAACTTTCTTGTTTCGATTCTCGTGCCCTTCATGTTTTCCATTTCAAAGGTGTCTCGTACGCGTTGTTTCCTGTTTTATATTAATTATACGAGGTGCTAAAGAGGATCCAATTACTGATGGAGAGACTTTTCTTCATTGTTTACGTAAAGAGTAAATAAACGTGTATTTATAAAGCATTTAGTAGGTACATGAATGTTATGAGATGTGAGGAAAGGTAATTATAAACTTTCATTCAACAATTTAGGTGATTGTTTTTTATAATTAATATAAAGTTTGAAGTCGTATAATATAGTAAAAGTTTAGCTTTATTAATACCAACAATATCTAACCTGTACTATAAAATTTATTAGATTTAGTAATTTTGAACATCCTTTACTACTTTTTACATCTTTGTCATAATTGTATAATACATTTTTGGCTTGTCACTAAAATTTCTTATAATACATCATTATATTCGTAAATTTTAATCCATTCCCTCAGACCAATGTTACCATAATGTTGGCCAATTGTAAAAGTTTGTACAGCATTCAACCAACTGTTGATGACGTGACTGGCAATTTTTCGGAATGCGAAATTCGGTGAAACAAAATAGCTCATCAGGCGCTCCACAGCAAAAGTTAGCGAATGAAATTTAATGAAAGTCCTCGCGTCGCGATTTTCTCTCACAAAGCGAGTGTTCCCCAGCAATGGAGCATAGTTGCAGATAAAGTATAGTTATATCCAAACTTTATGTCAGTTTACAATTACACTGCGTACACACAATTTTTGGTATCAGTAAGACTTAAATGAATTTGGGAGTGGAAGGACCTATGCACGCGTTTCCCTTACCGCAGTGGGCGTACCTGTAAAAACAAACTACGAACTGTCATAAAATTTGAATCTTGTAATACTTATGTGGATGCGGCAGGACCCAGCCACGCTATCTGTGACTGTATCAAAAACTTTTGCCTTTTTTTTACAAAGCATCTTTGTCTTTGTTTTTCGTTTGCAAACAACGTTACCACGATGTGTCCTTATTTTGCTTTTACGCTCAGCTTAACGAAAACTTGTTTATTCATTTGTTTGTAGCTGAAATGGTGGAATACAATAACTAGTTACGCTAACTCTAAGTTTATTTACAAGTAAACTTAATAAGCATTTCGAGGTGTATGGTTCCCGTTTCTTATATTTAGTGTTATATTACTTACATAGTAACCTACTTGAAAATTTAATAAAAGACGGGATTATAATTTTGTAAAATTCCAATGAAAAATATGACAAACACATATTCATGAATAATTTTCCCCTCGGCCGTCCGCATGCCTCGAGCATCTAAAATGTTTCGTCGCTGAGGCTTGGGGGTGCGCGCCCTTTCCGTGACGTCGTCGATTTCGCGTGCTTTGTAAAAATCCCCTTAATTTATAGTAAATTTGGGACACCAACATTTTGTAAGGATAAATCCCAATTATACATTATTTATTTAAAATAATCTTTATACATCCCTTCTTGGGACAACAACTTACATCTGAACTGTCTCAGAAATAAGCTTGCCCCACATATTTTAGCAAATATAATATAATAGCAAATATTTAAACTATATTATTTATTGTTCATCTTTAACATCAACTATCATAATTTGAAATTAAATATCATAATCATAATTCAGTAATTAAACAAAATAAAATCCACCTCAACTTACTTGAGGGTTTACATCAACAACAGTCTTAAGATTTGAGTTTAAATTCGACGTAGGATTATTTCATATTTCGTACCGTTTAACTACAAACAATGGACAACCTACTAAAACTTTTATAAAAGGCAACGCGTGTAATTTGCGACGGTGGCGGTGGGTCCGGTCTGCGCTCTTTCATGCACAATGTGTCCGTGCCATTTCAAAATAAGAAGTTAATGAGTCCTTCACTTGATATTAAAGAAAATAATAAGTGCATAACTATGTAAATGGATATTTGATGCACGATATAACAAAATAGTTCATTAAATATTCATAATAACCTTGTTTTACACTTGGGAGCCGTGGGGGAAAATGCATTACAACTTAAGAAATAAAGTAACTAGATATTCATGTAAAAAGTATAATTTCATATTAAGTGGTTTGATAATGTGTTGCTTCGAAAATTAATCATCCCAAATGGGGCGCAATGACATTTATTATAATAACCTAATACAGTTAATTCAATGAACAGCTGCCAACGATTTATCAGTGCGCCTGCATTAAAATTATAATTAGGTGACAAACGTAACATCGTTGCTATACTTTTTGTTCAGGCGCTGACCTATTTGGCACATCGAAAGTCTTGTTGTGGAGTGAGTCATCTTCTAGATTGTCGTTCTCTGGAAATATATTTATTCATTTGTTTCAATTCTTGTTGCAGTGAAAACAATATTTTAAATACAAAGTTCTTATAACTGTTCTATAAACTCGTACATCTGTAGTCATGGTCTCATGTTGTGAGAACAGGTGAACAATAGGTCAGAAAATTTTGTGGCTTTAAGTTGTAAATTGATGTGCAAGTTTTCATTGAGATAGCTAACTTTAAAACACCCTCTGGTTTGATAGATTTATCTTTGAATAACTGAAAAAGCCACATATCCATTGGTCATCTCATCACAATTCACAAAATGATAACTAGTAGGTACGGCTTTTTCATTATTTTATCTTCTTAACTATCATATTTTATTCTATACTCCCGTTTACATTTGGACAGGTGAAGCAAACGAGCTATTCATATAGCCCAGGCGCTTCTGCCTCATGCTCTCTGCGAGCAGACCAGAACATCAATCACATTGTTGTCTGCGAAAGTTAATATTGCGATACACGTCTGACAGTGAAATATCGCAACGGCCATTTATATTTACTATTGTGAACAGGACTAAATACAGTGATCGAAACGATGAAAATAGACTAGAAGTGATAGCAAATAAAATATGGGAACATGTTCAAATCGGACAGGACGCTGACCCGAATCGAGACCTAGAGGAGCAAACATTGGTGAAAAAGTGACTGGTGTACGCGTGTTTGTAGGTGTGTTTGTATGTGTGCGGTGTACGGTGCGAGGTGGCGATGAGGCGCGGGGCGGGTGTGCCCCCGCGCCTCTTATCAGCAGATAAGGCATCGGCTGGGCGCGCGTCGGCACACGGGGCCGCGTCTCCACCGTGACCAGGACAGTTGGCCGTATGCGGCCGCCGCCCGCCATGCTGCACTCCCTGAACGCACTCGCCGGCAAGATATCGCCGGGCGGCGGCCTGGACTCGAACGCGAACAGACATTCGCTGCCCAACCGCAATCACAAGACATCCTCGCCCTCGTCGCCCTACTCCAAGCCCAAGTAAGTGACGTCACGTCCACACTATCATCTCTGCATGCGCGCTGTTTGTTTAGACTAGTTACGGTGAAGGTGATTTAATGCTTATGCAAGAAGAACTGTTTTGAATCATTGAACAAACTGAAGACTGAATAAATGAAATGTAGGTAGAATACTTCAGGCAAGATATTATAAATTTCATAGCTTCACTGTTACATGCGATATGAAAATTATGCATCCGTATCATGTAAGCTACTGTAATAAAGGTTGTTAAGCCTCCCTTGTTATACAGATATCAACTGAATATAATCTGTTGCATCAAACCTGTATCGTCCATGAGTTATTGTGTCAACTTTACCTTTGATTACAACCTTATCTTTGAAGGAACTTGCTATACAATAAACTCAATGTAGATTAAATATACAAACAATAAATTATTATAGTGGCTATATATAATTGACAGATTATCAAATTAAATGAAGTGTCCTAATATATTTTATCAAAAATATTTTATACATTTCTTTACTACTGTATTTTAATTTCTTATTAGACTTACCTTAATTTTGTTGCCGAATTAATCACATCTTACAACGTGTTCCAAAATTCAACGATAAGCTGCTACCGTTGTATAGCCAGGTCGCTAACAACGTGGGAAAAATATTAACAAAATGAATCTTTTTGTTTAAAAAGTTACATTAACTTTTTTAATTTCTCGTGTCACAATTTTAGTTGCCATACACCTCCGAAACCAGATTGACTGTTTTTTATGATATTTTATATGCATATTCAATAGGTCTGAGTAGGTTGGCTACTGCCTATTTCTTTAATTTTGAATAGATGTAGAACATAGTCTAGAAGAACAGATACGCTACTAATTAAGTTTTCGAAATCTTGCGCGAACGGAGTTGCAGGCAACAACTAGTACATCATTTTAATTATTGAGAAAAGTTAAATAATTTAATTTTGAAAACAAATGCATAACAGTTAAGATAATCGTAGTTATATGCAAAATGATTTCACGTTGATGACGTCATCGCCTTCTCCCTTAAGCGGACGCCGTTGCCCCGTCATGTTTACCGGCAACAAACAGACCTGCCCGAGGCGCCGTGTTTTGCGATGCAATGAACTTTAGTCTAGATGTTGACTAATCCATCTGCTATCATAGAATATTCTCGACATTCTATGTTAAAATAGAACATTATTAATCACCTTTGCATTTCCTAAATAGATAGCTTTCCAATGTTGCGTTAGAGTATACTGACAATTTCAATAAATTGACCATAGTTCTTTTGGTAATAAGGTAAAGGAAACGAACGTTGGCGAAAATTTGTATCGAAAAGTTGACTTTTTATATTCGTGAGTTTCCACTGTATTACTCGAGGGCTTAGCATGAATATTCGTGCGTAACATCATCACAGAATTAACATTTGTGCAGCGCCCCTACCAAGCGTATAACACAGACATATTATACAAATTTTGACATATTTTGTCGACGACGTTACTCTATAGAATATATTGCTATCCTTTTTTTCTCAACGAATGAAAGAGATGCCTTTACTTTGTACATACATATTTCGTAGTTAAAAGTAAATTTATGTAAGGAAGGTAATTCGCCTAATTTATTTCTTATTCGATTTGCTTAGCAGTATATAATGTATACTAGATCGAAGTAATGTTATCATGTGAAAAGACTAACACGTATTTGACATGAAAAAACTTAGGATGCAACGTTCATTTAGTTATTTCAAAAGGAAAAACAAGTTTGATTCATTCACGCTCGCCGACGTTTTGACAAGCTTTCGCGCCCGTTCGAGCTTTACGCTGGTTTCACACAAGGGCAGAGCAGTGAGATAGAGCAGTAGGACACTGTAGTACCGATAGTAGTCTGTCTCGACGTTGTCGTAGTCTTATACATATCTCCATCGAGGCTTATTCCCTACATATGTTCTTAGAAACACTGATCCAGCACGGATTAGTTGACTTGAAAATCTTCACAGATATGTGCAGGTTGCAACGCCATGTTTTCCAACCACAAGAACGTCGGATAAATGTACGTATGAAATTCTAAAACCTCATTGGTATATAGTGAAATAAAATCCGTGTTATATGCCCGGATTAAAGTCATAATGATAACAACTACACCACCGACTTTCCTGGACGTTGCGCGCACAGTAACGCACTGTATTACTGGACACAGTACAGGACAGAGTTTCACACAAGGGTAGACCCTAGTGTGAAACTAACTTTACATATTACGCTTCGTGATGTGAAACGCTGAAAGCTCAAATTGCTATTCCTACTAGATCGCTTTTAAATAACCAGAGCACTTCGCAAACGCAAACAAACCGAGCGATATGCTGCGCTCTTGTGAACTTTTAATTTGTTATACGTCGAATATTTTACATTTATTTTGATTTTAGTTAATTAAGTCGATTGATATTTTTATTAGTGATATCTACTCCAGAATTAACTTGAGCAACCATGCGTGACAAATTGCAGTTGTTTAATGATGTTATTGTTTTACTGGACTACTACAGTGTAGACGGGCAGTTATTCATATGCCCCTTTCAATACGGTTTAAGTAGATAAATTTATTAAAAAAAAATTTCAAACTTAACAGCGTTGGTAATAATGGAAAACATGTCAGGCTAACAATGACACTAAATATCTAACCAAAAAATATTGTCGACCAAAGTATTATGATACATTCCTATAATCTTACTTCTTACTTATATTAGTTGCGAAAGTTTAGATGGATGGATGAATAAATGGGTGGATAGATGGATGGGCGGATGGAGTCGCGGGCGAGAGCTAGTCAATAATATAAACGAAAGGAAATTAAAACAATTTCATAGCAATATTTGGCAGGGTCGAAATTACTATCACCCCATGGTATAGTAGAAAATTTTGATAACGTTATCACACTGCCTATCCTCTCTCGCGCTTCAATATGTCTAATCACACCCCCTTATCCCCCTATAAAAATGTTGGCCACATATCGATTTCTAGATGTAACATAGACCGTTTAGTTGCGGATAAGATGATTTAATGTTACTCATACATTTGTGATAATGATAATACGTTGAACGTTACCGTGGCTTCACACGCTTTTGTTTTTTTTTTTGTGGAAAATGTTTGTTGATTAACCCGCGTATAAAGATTTCGATGAAATGAGTCAAGGGTTTTTAACAAACATAATCTAATACCTATCTTAAAAGAAAAATCTATACTTTGTTACGTGAAAAAAAAATGACGTTTTTCTGACATCCTTAAAATGGTCGAGTTAATTAAATATAACGACTATTTATGTTGTATTTGTAAAAAAAATTTAAAAGTTCTTGATTTTTCTATTAGTAAACAGTAAGTTTTTAATGTACCTGGGATATATATAAAGAGACAAAGTTCTCAATCTATCGATAACATATGTAACGTGAGACGTAATAAAAAAATTTACATCTTTTAGAATATACGAAAAGGTTACAAAGTTCTAACTAGAATAATGTACTATTACACTAACTTGGAGTGTCGGTGGCTCAGGGGTTATTCATTTGACTTGTAATCTCCAGATCCTGGGTTCTAAACCTACCATGTACCAGTGTGTTTTTCGATTTATATATGTACATTAATCGAAAATTCTTATGGTGAAGGAAAACATCGTAATACAACCTGCGCATATGTGCGAAGAAATTCAAAAGATATGTGAGAAATCAACTTGCATTGGGCCAGCGTAGTTGACTATGGTTCAGACACCACTTACTTAGGGTATGCTCCAAGCCCTTCAGTTTGATGATGATGTCACTAACCTCGTCGCTCGCTGTAAGTCGTTAAACAGAAGGAAGGTTTAAACAGTTTGTAGTAAGAAATAGTTTTAACATTATTTGGCATACTTGTTCTTTTGCATAGAATATTCGATTATGCGCAATGTGCATAATCTTATCAATGATTTTACATTGATAAAAATTGTCAAGTCACTGTTTTTACCTGTGATTCATAAAATATAACAACACATAATTTTGTTGTAGAACAACAAAATGTGTCAATTTTTTGTTCTAATAACCATCAAGTTTAATGACAAAAGTACAATAAATATAATAATAAATTAAAAATTCTTTATTGGGCACAAAAAAAAACATTTTTTTACAAAATTTTGTGGGTTTTACGTAACTAGTTGAAACTGTGTTTCAGGGGACAGCGCCTTCTCTTATCTATTGCCGCGACCAAACAAAACAAAAAAAAACAGATATTAATAAATTATCATTTTCCAAATTTAAATTAATCCAGACATAACCGCGCGTGAACTTCATCGTAAATAATTCAGTTAATATTTTCCATACACCTATCAGTATTCATTATGAACTTTGAAATCGTAGGTAGGCAAGAAAAATAACAAAACAGAGTATAATATATAAGTAGTTGGTCGTCGCGCGGTATATGCGTTGATCGCGTTGATACGTGGCCTGATAAGGAGTGCCTTAATCGAGCGATGTATGCTCTTATCAGTGATAACGCGATGGCAAACAAGTGCGGCGTGTACGCAAACTGGAGAACAAAATACACTCGAATAAGGTACATAACCTAAAAATTTTATGCTTATTTTAGGTCAGGTGACTAAACTTATAACTTGTTATTAATACTATTATACTATTTTTTTATAAGCAATAAATATTAATAACAGATGCTTATTAATGACATATTCATAATTACAATCATATAGATATTGTAGTGATAAGAAATTATGAAAAGTCAAATAAGCAACTTAATAGAAAGAAGACGTTTGTTGATGAATCTTTTTGGTGTTGCCTTTTTATTTTGTTTATAATCTAAATATCAATTCTATAAAATGTAGTTGTTATAAGAGGTGGGTGTTTTGATCCAGTTGCCAATTATGGTAACTTTATCTTTTCATTACTGTATGAGAGCTGAAATTTTAATTTCTTTTTTATGGTGATAAAAAGGCTTTTCTTATATGACAGTAACTTTTCAACATCAAGTTACAATATCGGTATTTGGCGCGGTAAAACACTTTAAACAATAGACCCACATTCTTAGGTCTGTAGTTATCATATAAATCTGTAAAATAGAAGAAAATGTAAGGTTTCCTTTTGATGCATTAAAAAATGCTTGTAACCGATGTGTTTTTGTCTTTATTCAGAGTAGTAAACTTTATCCTACTAATATTATAAATGCAAAAGTTTAGATGGATGTATGTTTAAAGGTATCGCCAGAACGGCTGCATGGATATCTTTGAAATTTGACATAGATGTAGAAAATAGTATAGAAAAACACATAGGCTACTTATTAAGGTTTTTTTAACTGCGCGGACGTTGTGGTGGACGACAGTTTTCGTAAATATTGTCGCATTGTAAAGTGTCTAAAATGTTGTATGTTTGTTGCAGTGGGATTACAATGAACATTAGCAACAATAACAACAACACGAGTATAAACAACAACAACAATGACGAGAAGTCGGAAATGCCGGATCCTGATTACATTAAGGTAAGTAACTACTACATATTTAATATTAACTACTACCAAATGAAAACTTATGAATAAGTTATATTTCACTTAATTTATTTATGAATTCTCGAACGATTCTTTGGAATTTACCTTCATATTATTAAGGATAGAACTTTAACGTTGTTGTTGTTTAATTTGGAATAACTTTAGTTTTAAAAGTAATAAAAACTAAGGGTAAATAAATACAATTCTAGCTTTAATATTATTCTTTTAAAAAGCCTAACTATGGTGAATAATATGAATCTAAATGTATGTGACGAGACTCTGAAAGAGACTATTAATAATGAAAACAAAAAGGAAAATTGTATAAACTAGCTTGAAACTAAAACACTTTAGAGCTTTAAGGATTTATATATAGTAATCGTTATGTATATGAAGAGAAAACAAATTTCAATTCAATTAAAATTCGTATAAAAAGCACAGTAAGAAATAACTATTTAACAAGTACCAGGCCTCATGTGGCCTAGATTATAAAGGTGTTTCGAAGATAAGCCTATCTGTTATGGGAACGCGATTCTCGCATTAAGGTTGAATATATTCTGGCCGTCGGAGAATGAGCAACATTTATCATATATTATCAATGTTTCTCCGCTGACGTCAAACAAATTGCCCATACGTTTCAGGTCACTAACCGTGAAGGAAATATGTCAAAGTGTTTGTTTATGATACGTAATATATTGTGACTTATCATATGATTCACGTGATGTTATAGTTAGAGCCAAAGGTATAATTAATAAAAATAAATAAATCTATAGCTTTCACGGAGAAGCGACAGTCACTTGTTTATACGCCATTATTTATATTTGTACAGTCAGCTTCATATATAAGTATACGATTAAAAAATTTTAGAAACTTGTAAAAGCCGTCGATTTCAATAATACTTGGGCACGTATTCGTGAAGAAGATGTACTTATGGATGAAAGAATAAAGACCAATTCGTGCATACCTATTTTTAACACTAAAAGCGTATATATGTTTCTTAATCTTAGTAAATTTTTACATTTTATGTAGCTGACTGTACATGTCAAAAGCACCAAAGAATAAACATACCTAGTCAAATTATCCTCGTTTAAGTGAGATTTTCTTATAATTTATTCTAAACATAGGGACATGAAAATTAAAAGTTAATTATTATGCTACATTCAAGCCTCATTTCCCTACACTTAAGTTATGAAGTAAGATAATAATAAAATTTCCGCATCACTTATTCAAACCATCGCCCCGTGAAGCTAATTCGGTCGCTATTCAGTAGCGAAATCACCGCAAATGCGACTCCCTGAAACTTACCTGTGCAAGCTAAATGAGTGCGAACTTTGAAAATTCGCAAATGACGTGATATATTGGCGTAATTAAAAAGGTTCCAGGCGACCGCTCGCTGCTGCGCCGCCTCCTGCCGGCGCGCTGGTGTAACCGCTGATTGCTTTAACCCCTTTCCTGCCCCCCACCACATTTGCTGACGCTGGTTTATTATGAGACTAATGTAGTGAAAATTTGTTTCGTCGAGATTTTTTTTTCATCAAGTAAATAGATAAACAACATTTTCAAGTGTTAGTTATTTTAGCTGATTTTTTAACTTTACTTTCTAAAGTCAAGATATCAATAGTCCAAATGTTTAAAGGATTAACTACCGATCATGCGGTCACAAGTTCGAATTCCGTTATTTTTTATATTGAATAAACCAGTTCTTGATTACACCTGATGTTATTTAACTATTATCATGAACCATGACCTAGCACAAGCTGTGAGCTTTTTTGGAATAGTTAAGAGGAATGCCAGTAAATGACTTTCAATAATCTCCTAATAATTCGTTGAATATTCGGTTTTTACCTTTTTAAAATAAAGCAGTATATTTGACATAGTTATTGTATTAATTACAGATGTTCGTTGGGCAAGTGCCGCGGAGTATGGACGAGAACGACCTGCGGCAAATGTTCGAGGAGTTTGGCCGAGTGCATCAGATCAACGTGCTACGGGATAAGATGACGGGTGCGAGTAAAGGTACGTAATTAATATATGACACTTTATAAACCTAATGAGGAAAAGTTTAGGTAAATAATCTTAAATGTCATCTTCAGCATACTTGATGTGAAAGATTGAAATAAAAATAAAAATAAATATGCAGATGAATTTATAATGTCCTCTTAAGTTTAATTTTGTGAACCAAAAAACTTCATAACAATTTGCAATTATGGTTTTCGTTTAGTTTAATAAGGGGCCTTTACACACACGTCGGCCGTCGCATCATTGTTTTGCATTCCAACAAAGAGGCGAGGGTACATGTTGCCATTTTTTGTATGCTTTGTTACGCGTCTTTTGTTTGAGAAAGCTCCTTTAGTACGCTGCCATGCGAAAACCTATCTTATTGTCAGTACCATGGGCGATGCCAGTTGCCCCAAGCGTGGTTCATTCAGCAATGGACCATTGTCTCGTCCACATTATTATGTTTTATTTTGTTGTCGTCACCGAGTTATTTAATTGTTGTCTTATCTTGTTTTGATTACGCTAACATCTTCACTTTATGCTTTATTTTGTTGGACAAGTATAAGACAACTCATATTAAATTCTGCGTTATGACAATTTTTTCTTTTTTTTCAAATACGTCATCGTTTTAGATTAAAAACTTTTTATTTTCCTGCCAGTTATAATCTTGATACGTATGGTAAAAGGATAATACTTGTACATTAGGGACTTCTTACAAGACCAACTTATAGTGAATATGACAATGTACATAGATTATCATTTCTAAAAATTTCTGCGATCAAAATCATCTATCAAATTCGACGTAAAATAATTTTTAAGTCAATGTTCACATTGTCGCTGTTCGTTTTATTCCCGCCATTCGTCTCCTGTTCTCGGTCCTGAATTAAATTAACGGAACTCCCCCTATAATAGATCGCTTCGCAATTGGTCGCCCGGGACTTTCAGTTGCTTTAGTGTTTTGTTAGGTCACGATAAATTGTCTCGAGCGAATATTATACCGCTTTTCAGTATTATTGATCTTCAGTATGCGGCTCTTATATATAAAATTCTCGTGTCACAATGTTAGTTACCATACTCCTCCGAAACTGCTTGACCGATTTCTATGTAATTTTATATGAATATTCAGTTGGTCTGAGAGTCGGCTATTATCTATTTTATAATCCCGCGCGAACGAACTCGCGGACGACAGCTAGTAATTTAAAAAAGATATGGCTCTTATGACATTATTACTAATATGAAAGATTTATAAGTTTTAAAGTACTGAATATTGTGTCTATCAGTGTTTTTTTTTTAAAAAAAAAAAGAATGAATTTAAAATTGAAATATCAAAATTTATAAAGTAGGTTTGCATCCCCGTGAAATAATAACGAGAAGGTAACGTATCTGATATTCAAAATTAAACAATGATGGTTTAATACTATATTAGACGGTATGATTCAAAAAGTACGATTCTCATCGACCGTGATCAAAGCAATAATCAAAATTATTGGCATATTTTGATTATAATATTTGTTCTTTGTTTTTTTATTTAATTTTATTCTTTAATATCAACATGCAATTCAACGCTTTATTTTTAAACTTAAAAATTTCACGCACGGTCAAAATTACAACGAATTTGTTATGTGCGTTTTAATCAGAAACAAAATATCATTAAATATAATTACGTTAATTACATTTTAAAATATCAGTTTCGATCGAAGATTCTGATTAAATCCGTGATTTTTCTTAGAGTGAAATCTTGGTTTAAAACTATTTCGGTTTTGTCAAAGATATGTTTTATGCAAGGATTTTGGTATCAGAAACTCACGGTTAGTAAGCTAGTGAATTTTATAAAAGACAAAGGTAAAGTCTAAGTTCAACCAGTTTGCCAGAGTGACGGTGGCGTGCAAACTGATTAGTTCAAACATGCTATTTACCCGTCGAACACGCACGCATTGAGGTTCGCGTGACGAATACTTTGGCTGACTTTTTACGAAATGGCTACAGCGAAGATTAAACCTCTAATAATCCAACTATAGGTTAAGTTATTGAAATTGTAACGAACTTTGGCTTAACAAAATACCAACATAAAAAAGACAAGACACTGAACGCGTCAAAAAAAATTGTACTGATTTTTTAACAACCAAACTTTTTTCTTTTCCTCTAAGCTATTTGCTAAGTTAACATTATGTTTTTTCTGTACTATAGCTATGTTAATATGTGGCGAATTGTGATTTATGTATGTAGATATAGTTTAGTGATTGTCTGTGTGTGTACATGTTACGTAAGTGTGCGCTTCTGTTACAGGGTGCTGTTTTGTGACGTTTTTCACGCGGAAAGCGGCATTGAAAGCCCAGGATGCTTTGCACAATATCAAAACTCTAAGCGGGGTACGTATACATAGTAATGTTTTATGTGATGGGTAAATAATTTCATATTAACTTATAGATATTTATTGGATGTGTAAAATTTGTTGTAAAACTCTGTAATTCCAGGAAGGTGTATTGAAATTTGTTCTTAAAATTCTCAAAGGACTTAAATTTTATGTTTTTTAATGTAAAAATATAAAAATAAGGAGATTCAACGTACTTCGATTAACTGAATTTCTTACGTGTCAAATATTGTCAAATCGTATTCAAATTGCCTCAAATTACTTCGCTTCAAAAGTTTCCTAATTCTCGATTCGGAATTGTTTGGAATCGAAGTTAAATTAAGTTACAATTTTATTCAATTCTTGGGGTTTTTACGCAATCCGAACTCGTCTGCGCAGACAATGTAATTAGTTATTAATTTCATTGTTGGAAACCTTTCTACGAATTTGTTTTGTTTGATTTATTAAACGAGAAACGATTTTAATTAACTTTTGTATTTCGATGTTACTAAACTTCGCTTTATGTTTTATACAACTTTACATTAGGAAAATATTTGAAATATTATACATAGTAATTTTATATTATCTACTTCTATTTTAACTTCAAAGTAGTCAGTTATCACAGGCCTGAGGCTTTGGTTGTTTAATCTACTTACGTCCTAGTTACGCTAATAGTAATATTATTTAAAATTAGCAATATTATGGAAAGTTCTAGCAGACGTTTCGTAACATATCAGACGAAATAGTAATTCGTAGCCTCTGATCTATGTTACAGGCGCGATAGATAGAATACTTCTGTATTTTATTTATCAAATAAACATAGATTTAAATTCCAATGATTGCTTTCCTTATTCAGTAAACATCATTGTAAGTCGTAACGATAAATGATTCAAATCGTTTCAAATTGATTTCCATTCCATTCTTTGTGCAGATGCGCATCGAAACGATGTAACATAACCGTCAATGTAACGATGGACCTGTTGCATTGTCGATTTCTATAACAATTTTCGTTTATTACGTTAGCGGGTCTCGCGAACAAACATCCCATTCGATATAGCATCGATTGTTAGCGAATACAATCGAATTACTGATTCTTTCATTCGACGGCGCACGTCTTATTTTCCCCTCACGTTCTAGGGTTGTTACTGTCTAGATACTTTATAAAATGTACTTTATAATCCTCTTAGACAAATAAATATTTTCCTACAACAAAAGATAATAAATTTATGTTAGCAGACCTCAATTTCACTATTTTTGACATAAAGTCATCTTCTATATTTTCCTTAAGCAATTTTTTTCTATACACAGTCATTCATTTCTAAAAACTAGCTTTGTTGATAATCAACAATGTTATATTATTGTAGCACCCAAAGTATATATTTTTATATTTGAGAAGGGAAAAGTCAATGTAGACAGCCCTAGTGTTCTTCAACTTCATCTCTGGTGATAATTCAATTCCTATTATATTATACGGGGTTTTCTCTCCCAATTGATTTCGGCCTCACCCAGGAGAGGGGCAAAGAAGGAGCAAGCGAGCGGTGGAACGTCCGATGTTCCTCCCAATTGGAAGAAAATATTTGTCTGTTGTTTGCATTGTTTTCTAATTCCTTTATCTAAACTGAAAGTATGATCTTTAATAGGTATTTCTATTTAGTCCCAATAGCTAAAACTTTTATTGTAATGAAACACGCATTTCCTTACGAGTACTTTTTGGTTTCAAAGAACTATTACGGGTGGGCTTCACAAGGTTAAATCCGTAGCCTGAAATCCATTCAGTAATAATAAAAATATAACTCATCATCATCATCATCAGCTCACTATACGTCCCCACCGAGGGGCTCGGAGCCTACCCTAAGTTAAGGGTTAAGTTAAAATATAACTAATACAATAAAACTTGTAGATAACTTTGTGGGAATTATTTTTCTTAAACTATTGTAATGCAACCTCTTTAGTACTTTTTGCAACGTATAAAAAAACAAAGAGCTGTCATGTACGTCACTAGTACGTCAAATTTTGCCGCCATTTAATTGCCGCTCGCAGTTAAACGGAGCGCCGCAGCAAATCGGAAGCGTCCAATTATCATGACGCGGGAACGAGCGCGCGGCGTGTCTCCGCCATTTCGAGTCGATTAAACTTTTCCGACCTAAATTAGTGAACACTGGCTGGTAGTGACCCATTTTGTCGACTTTGAATCGACTTTTTCTTTCTTTTTGTATAATTTAAAGACTTATCGAATAACGATTAACGTGAATCGGGTCTTTTTCTTGATTAGTCAAATTTGGATTCCCCTTGAAAAGTTTTAACTGGAACTTGGGATTAACTTTGGGTCACAAATTATTGAGTTTATATACAAAAATAAGAACTCTTCCTTCATTCTGACAATGCACTTTTGATGGAACAAGAAAATCTTTCTAGTTATTTAATATACTAAATGCTGTCATTAAAAACCCTACCTCTTAAAAAGCTTCTAAATCCTCTGTTATAAAATAAATTTTATTTTTATATTTTAAAATATATTTCGTAATAATACAAATAAAGTTGTTTACAAGTAAAAGCTTTATGAAGACTAAGACAGTGTTCCAAAGTTGAATAGTTACGACATACTTTTTGGGTTAGTCTTTAAATTCCAGACGCTTGAGAAGTGGATCTCCGAAGTTTATCGGGACAATGTTTCAGTTGAGATTTTCTGCATAGTTTCGAAACCCGAACCCTCGTGACCTTATCCTAATTGTGGCGAAGGTCCTTTAATAATTCAGTTCGTAAAAGGCAAAAATGTCCGTTATAAAATTTGCAGATTCATCCATAATTAAAATCGCTTCGGCGGCATTTTACAACATCTCTTCCAACATTTTATTGTCAAAAATTAAACTTTTCCAAGTTTTAATTAAAATCATTTTGTGACGATCTTAATAATCTTGTCGCCCCTTTTTATCTCATTTCTTTCTCTTAAGGAAAGGCCAACGCTGAATATTTTTTCATAAATTATAGCACGAGCTGTGTTACTCTCTGCTTAATTTATAAGTATAACCTTTCATGAACTTTTCCTTTTTCACAATTGAATCATAACTTGTATTTTTTTTTCTTCGAGACTAACAAATAACACTCATAGTTAGTCTTTTGATATCAACTCTGCCATATCAATGTCAGCTTTCCTAACAAATTTGTCTTAATTTTCCGATCGTTTAACTTTGACGTTTATATCACTCTCCACGTCAACTTGTGAATATTTTTGGTAGGAGTTTTGCTTTCGTGAAAAAACTAATCGTTCGTAAGCAAGTTTATAGTCGGATAATAAATCAATCCGGTGCCGGTCCACTGCAGCTCACAAAATAGAAAAGCTATATTTCATCCGGGTGTTGTGTGGCCGCCCGGTGACCGGGCAAGCTTTGATCGATAGTCCGGATTTATGATCGAGTCTACCCGGGTCTTAAGTAATTGACCGGCTCCATTAGGGAAGGAAACGCTATCGGGGTACCGTACGTGTAGGACTTTGTTTGCAGTTTGATCGTGTATTTTAGACTTTTATGCTTGCCTTTATTGATTAATTCTGTAATAGTTCTTTGCTTTAGAATAATTCCTGTTATATATATGACTACTTATTATTATTATTCATTTTAACAGAAGTATTTTAACAGTACTGGCCGGTGAGATGATAAAATTTACTTTAAATTAAAAAGAAGTCAAAGAATAAACACGGAACCCTTTAGCAAAGCGGATAACTATAAGTTTTATTCTGGAAATTTGTTTAGTAATTCAATATGCGGTCAATTAATTTGACGGCTAACATGATAAAAATGTAACTTGATATCTTCATAGATTCAGATTTATTGCGTATCATATTTCATTGATAATTTATTATACATCACGAAGTCTTCCATCATTTCTTCATCATAGTATTTGTTGTTACGTATGGGTGCGTAAGACTAATGATACGTCGCATTATATTAAAAATATATGTTCCTTTTCCTTCTTATGACTTTTGATATTCTTTTATTTATTTGTTTATTAATAAATGAAAACATTGGTGACTCATTAAATGAGCATTGTTTTTGTAATAATGTTACAGACAAAGTTACTCTAAATGTAACATTAACAATCATTAATTTTCTCTAAATGTAACATTATCGATCATCATTTGTTAAAGCCATACGAACTTTTCAACCGTGTTCTAAATTGGTCAATATTAAACAAATAATATTCAACATATTCAGTTCAATTCAATTTGTTTAAATTGTTAGCAATTTGTCTAATAGACGCGGTTGTAGCCGCTAGTAGCACTCTGCAGCCGCATCGCGATGCCTCATTTGCGAAAATAGTGGTCTCATTTACCCGACCGCATATACAAACGGACGCGAGATACAAATTGAGTGCTTATCACTGGAAAATACACTATCGCGTGCTTTGTTTCGATTGAAGTGTTCAGAAATAATGTTTATCACTCATCTAAAAACGATATTTATTTTAAACGACTAAATCCGCGCATTATTAAAAAATACTACTGATCGCAGCGTAATGTTATGTAGCCTAAAGTCTTCCCCTATAAATGGACTATCCAACAAAAAAATAATTTTTCAAATCGGACCAGTAGTTCCTGAGATTAGCGTGTTTAAACAAACTCTTCCGCTTTATAAGGTGTTTTTATTCAGACTAACTTAATTAAAAAGACCCTATTTTATCTTCCTGCACTTTTCCGTACAGAGCGTCGTGACAATGTGTAAGTACGTACTACTCTTCCATATATCTTACCAGTACATATAGAAAAGTACACCCTATATGTTTTACTTATTTGCCTTAATATTCTTAGCACCTGTAGTGGGGAATAATAGATGTAACACCCTGTATAGTGATATAAAAGCATTGTGTATAGATAGAACATATCAAAATTATAACAAATAACACAGAGCAGCGTAAATATATGTAAATAGAAGAGAGTTACAAAAATATTCTTCAGTCGATTCAGCCATGTACGTACAAAGTGTGTGCCCTTTTTGCTGGCATTTAGGCGTACACTATAATTTA